ACACCCCAAACCTGCCGAGCTCTGTGGAACCTCAAAGAGTTCTATGGGATAAGCACACCTTTTTCCCTCTCTTTCTCCACCACTCCAAGTTTTAGAGGATACTGAGCCCTGTATTGAATGTAAAGTTAATCCCAGCTCTGAAGCAGAGTCAGCTCAAACACTTGCCTGTCCTGCCGCTCTGCAAACCGCCATCCCTGTGCATCACTTGTGCAGCTCAGCACACCCAGCTCCAGTGCCAAACACATAGCACAGTGCAGATACCAGGAACTGCTACTGGAAAGACAGAGATTTGCAGGCAGGTGAGTCAAACAAAACCTTCAGTCAACACAAGAGGTAAATGTAGAAATATTAAAAGTACTCTACAGAGACAAAACAGGACCTGCCTGTTGGCTGAGACCTGTTTGTATCTTGTAGCATCAATTCTAAACACTAAGGAAAATTTTGCTCTTACTGTTAACCCAACCAAAGCAGGGAGAGAGAAGGCAGCATCAGCATGGGTGTAACCAGGAAGCCTGATCCCACCAGCAGGAGTTAACTGGCTCTACAAAATGCTCCTCAGTTGTCCACTGCATGTGAGTCCTGAGTCACACCCAGAGGAACAAGTATTTAACCAGATGAATCCACACACCGGGTCTTTAAACAGTGAAAACACAAAGATACTTCTTTGGAAGGGGGAAAAAACCCACATAAATAAAAAGAAAATGCGACCATTCCACACACCGCACTTGGGGCTGTAAAAGCTGCTTCTCATGATTTACTTTAGAAAACAATAAACAATATAAAGAATGAATCTTAAGCAGCAAAATGTCCTCATACAGGAGAAATACTGCAGTGACTATGAGGGCAGGTACCTCCAGAAAAGGTACCCGTACCCAACCTCGCAGGATGTACAGATGTGATGCCGAGGTGCGGTGGCAGGATTTGCCCAGATCCAGTCCTCTGAAATCAGCTCACGTAGGCACCAACACAGGTCATGTTTTTCCTTTTAATGGTGAAAGATTTTAGAATGAAGCAGAAACATATCATGTATTCCATGCAACCAACCTCATTTATTGAAAAGTCCTAATTTTATTGCCTTGTTTAGTAACATGTTTGTTCAACAAACTAATCTTTTTGTCATGAAGCAAAGCACAACTTTTTCTTATAAATAGTATAAATTATTTTATTTACAGAAACTTGTTACAAAACAAATAGACTATATATTTCTTTTCTTCTTTTAAATATCCAAAGTAATTTTTTCTATCTCATGACATTTGTTCATGTACTATACAACAGCCAACACAGGGTTCAGCTGATCAGATGCTCTTGATTATGTATACAAATTATCAAACTATTCACACATTTTACACAGGAGATTGCTTTTAGAACCAGGCTCAACACCGAGCAAGATGCTTTCAAGGCCTACATTCACATTGACATTATGTAGTGCTCATGTTAAAATCATCTTTCAAACGTAAAATATCTTTGCACAAAAGGTAAAAATGATTCTTTCCTGCTGAACAGCGAAACATTTATAAGAGTCTTTCTAAGCCCAGTTCCCTCCTCCAGGACAGAATGAGTAAAAGACAAAGAGAGAGATTCCTTGGCAAGAGAACTCTTACAGGAAGACAACTGCCTTAGAAATGCCATTTGGAAATCACGTCTGTTTCTGAATGCTTTTAAGAGGTACTTACTTGGGGTTTTGTTTTGTTTTCCTGGATATGAATTCTTTTGACCATCTTTTAGATTATTTATGAATACCATACTCCCCTTTTCCCAAAATGAGACTGAAATAGCTGGTTAAAACCACATTTTCCAAACCCTTGGCATTACATTAAACACAAGTTATCAATGGGATTGTTCCAACACAAGGTATTCTAATGAAAAAAGGTTTTAAAAAAGTCACCAGCATCATTTGCTTTGTCATCTCATTCATTTCAGAAAACACATATATATGTATGTGTGTACATATATACACATATACGCACACACATACATATATACATGCACACATATATTATATACAGGTGGAAAAAGCAAGCTCCAAAGTTTCAACTGAACATTCAAGTCTTTTAAGGAGAAGCTGTCTATGAACAGTCCAAGCTTAAAACTAGTTTTAATCAGGCACTTTCAGTTTTTCCGTTAGTTGGAAACCACGTGAGACCCACACACGACGCACACACACGGACACTAAAGGGAAGAGAGAAGCAGTGTGTCATTTAGAAACTAAATGTAGTCATCTGGGAACCAGGCAACTGAGAAGTAATGCCAGCATTGACCGTGTCGGCTCTGACCCTGCACCCAGGTTCCTGTGGCAGAACCCGACCGCAAGGATGGATCAGCTCCCAAGACAAGGACGAGGGACACAGCTTTCACAGCACGGAGGCATCCCTTCATGTTGCAGAGGCCTGGGAGCTATTGGCTTGGCAGTGAACCACTTCAAATGACAAAAAAAAAAAAACAGGTATTTGCTTTGCTTATTTTTTTTTCCTGTACTTTTTTCTTCTTTTTTTATTAATTAATTAATAAATAAATAGTAGATGATCTCAATTGTACCAAAACTGGATATAAGAAAAAAAGACCTGTGCAAAAATACATATTTAAATATGTACAATCAATTAACAAAATATGTCTTTTCTGAAATAGGGATACTTCAATATTTATAATAGAACAAGAAAATTCCAAAATAAAGATACAAAAGTATGGGGTATTTTTTGTCTTTTCTTTTTTTTTTCTTGTATAATTCTTTGTTCATCATTGCAGCAATTTTGTAGGTTAAGAAAACTGCAGGAGTCGTAATGCAAAGTTGGAAAGATTTATAAAAACTGTATCTCTTAAATTAATACCAAAATCTGTCTAGAAACAACCCAGCCACTGCAAATTCCATTTTGCATGGAAAAAATTAATTGTTAAGCTTCCTTAATTATTTACAGTAAGAAGTACGTGATGATAAAAAAAGCTTCAGGAACAATGTTCTGCTCGTAACCAAGATCGAAAACATAATATTGAAGCAGGTCTATGCTCAAGGGCAGACAGGATTTAGGATGTTCTAACTCTATTCCCAATGGCTTCCAGCAACACAGGCACTGCAGAAGCAGCGATGGGGAATTCCCATGTTAACATGGCTGCACGCTACGAAGGAGCATGAGGTTGCCATTATGCTTTCAGATCAACAGAACCTTCAAAGACCAGAGGAGAGCTGGATCACAGACTTGCTAATGTTCAACCTTGGCCAAAATTCCTGTTTCCTTTACCTCTGTGCCTACCGAGAGTCAAATTGCACTTGCGACTGGCGCTATCCCGACATGGAAGCTCTGCCCCAGGGGCTTCATCGGAGCGTGGATTTCACTCCAATTTCTCTTTGTGGCATTATCACTTTGGTTCCTTTCACATTATCCCAATTGCAGTTGCAAAAATACTTTCAACAGGGCATCCTATTAAATACAAATCCTTTTGTTCCTGAAAAGTTGTCTATATTTAAGTTTGCATAATAAGTGTCTCTAAGTACATTGCTTTCTCAAATGTGATCTTTTGTACCAATTCAAAGCTAAAGTGTCTGCATAGAGGCTTCTTGTTGTTTTGCTATAACAATGATTTTGTAGCAAGTTCAGGTTAAACTGAAAGCATCGTTAGGTAAACAACTACGCAACTGCTACTCAGAGTGGCTGTGGATTCCCTGATGTACTTCCTACTTGCCACCAGAACTGGGGAGAAGGCTGGGCTACGCAAACAATTGGACAGGCTCAGATTGTCTCTTCTCAGCAATAGCTGGTGCCCCTTTAAGGCAGGAAAACCCCCCGTCTTCTTGGTTAGGAATCTGTTTGCCTTTGCTTTGCCCCCTTTATGAAAGTTTAGGTCAGTTTTGAAACTTTACCTGATGTTCAAAAACTTAACAAAAACATCCAAGTGGATCAAATCATGACAAATAAGCCCTTTAGTGGAATTCACTTTTGAGGTGTTTTGGAGCAAGAGAAAAATCATTCATCAAAAGTGACTGGACTATATAAAACTGGGTAAAGCCCCTTTACTCAGAAAGCCTGGGGTAGGCGTGGGATGCTCTGCTGCTAAACTGGCCTTTATTCCAGAACTGGGTAGTGGTTTTGAAGCGTAACATGTCAAAGACATAGCTGTACAAACAAGGCATAAAGAAACTGGCTTTTATGGGTTTTCTTAGAAAATATTTAAATACTTTAAAAAGGGCTGTTTTTACCAGCTGGAAGGCAAATCCAGCATCATTTAACCAATACATGTTATTCCTTTTAAATAACAAAGGCCTATGGTATACAGCATAGGTCAATAAATATGTTCTTTGGGCATACAGTTTTAGAGGTTATTGGCCTTTGCCTGTTGGATGGTTTTGGATTCTTTTAAAAAACAAACCTAACTTGTTTTCTTCTGCAATCAAATCTTATTCTAAAGAACAGAAAATAAGGTTTGTATCATGGTAGTATAACATTTTTATACTTGTTTTTTTAAGCAATGGCTTCAAACAAGTTTTTTTCTGGGTTTTGTTGGGTTTGTTTTGTTGCTGTCTTTTTGAAACTCCTGATAGCTTCTTATCCCAAATTACTTGCAAAAGGCTGGGCAAAACAGAGTAGTTTTTGAATTGTGCTATTTTTATATTCCATTAAAGGAACATTGCTATAAGAACACTAAAGCCATATTCCCTTCTCGAGGGCTTCTTTCCCCTGTGCCTCACACGTTTTTCCCCCTTGTCACAGGGTCTTCTCCATTGAGGGTGTCTGTCTGGTTAGCTATCACCTACAAAAGACACCATCAGTATAAAAATAAGTCCACAGTAACGTTTATTTCCTCCCAGAAAACATTCCTTTGCCCAGCCAATCTATGTCCAATAGTGGCAAGATGATGTACTCCTGTAAGTAAAATCTCACAGATTTGTAGCAAACAGTCCAGACCACCGTTAACACTGATAAGAGCAATTATGTGGCTGAACTTCATCCAGTGTCCATTTCTAGTATATTCGCTGCTACAGACATGGCTTCAGGGAAATTCCTTGTTTAAGTGACAGTCCAGTAGATTTCCACACCTGAGGACCATGGGAAGTTGGGAAAACTCAAGGCATCTTGGAGTCCAGAAATCCAGATGGAGGTTTTGCTTGTAGTGGAAAGTGTCCAGTTTGTTTCTCACCGTGGTGCATCCAGCTATCAGGGACGTGCCTTTGGCTTTGAAGCAAGCAAAAGAAAGAGAAGGATGAGTGAGGCAGCTATTAGAGCAGGTCCCTTGAAAGACATTTTCTGGATAACAAGAGCATATTTTGGGAAGAATCAGCAGAAACAACGTGATACATACGAGGTTGTATCCTCCGAGATGTTGTATGTAACAACATGAGGTTGGCTCCTCCAAGACTTGACAATTCTCAAGCTAAAGCTCTTTAAAGTTACAATGATTTCAGACAGGATTTCCTTCCTTAATTCACCTCAAATTATACTTCTCCTTTATACTGCATAGTTGAAAAAGAAACTACTAGGTAAGTTCAAAAAGAAATTCAGCCTCTGAATGCTTCTTTTTTGTTACAGTGAACACAACATAATGGTGAAAAATCTTCATCTATGGCTGAAACTGGAAAGTAAGAAGCCATTCTGAAGCAGCTCTTCCTGACCTTCCTCTGGGTCCTGCAGGGACCCAGACATCAGGTTATCAGCACCAGGGGAAACAAAAAATTTTAGTTTTTCAATCACAAAATCTAGTTCTAAAATTCCATCTTCTGTCTTCTCCTCAAGCTGTATCAAATATTTTTGTTCCCTTCCAAGTGCTCCTACAAGTCAATTTGAATAGTATTGTTAAGAAGCCTGAGCCACGTTTCTAAATTCTCATCCTAGCTTACAAGAACTTTCTCTCCCAATACATTACTTTTCGAGTGCAATTTATCTAAAAAAAAACAAAACCCTAAACGAAATTTTAAAATGGGATCTTGTATATTCAGATCTGCTTCCTTTATAGTAAATCTATTTCCTTTATTGACTAAAAAGGTTTCTATCTTATTCACAACATTTAATCTCGTTATTATTAAGAAGTTAGTCAATGACACCTTGGGATAATAGGCTTATTTTATCACAGTATCACAGTTCTGTTATCAGCAACATTATGTTCCACTTTGCAGAATGTTTATAACTGACACAGAAACAAGAAGTCAGGCTGAGAAACACAGATCAGTTCCATGGCTGGCTGGCAAGATTTACTTTTAAAATCATTGGGTTTTTAAATGTGAGGACTGAATTTCACCTAAGAGCAGTTCAGAGGCAACATCTAAGGAACATTTTAAGGTTAAGTTTAGAAGAAATAAAGCTACACTTTATGAGAGTGTTTACAAAAATGTACTATAAAACCACTTTAAATGAGTAGTGGACAAGTAAGAGAACTATCTTTTACTTGAATAGGATCTGGACTTGGCTCGCTAATAATTAAAAGAACACATGTAAAAAAAGCAAGTGAAAAGGCATGTTCATCCTAGCTTACTTCAAGAGAAAACTTCCTACCTGATGAAAAAGAGAATTGTTCATCAGTCCTTGTGTCCCTGGGATTGCACCAGTGTGTTTTGCATGAACATTGTTCACCGATGTCAATTTGGCAACTTTATTTGTTTTGCTGCTGCTGTTTATGCTGCTTGAACCAGGTGAGCACTTTCTTTTCTTTCCTATTAATTTGTCAAGGGAAGTATGCGAATGTGAAAAACTGCTGTGTGAATTTACAGTCAGCTCGCTGGATTGATGAACAAATGGCCCTAGGGAGAGTGTGGAGTCGCTGCTGTTCATCATCACACTCATTCTCTTTATCGATTCTGCAGGGCTTCCAGTCGGAGGACCCCTCCCTGATTGGTCATGTTTGAGGCTAACAGAGTTAGCTTTGCTTGTCATACAGTTGAGGCCAACGCTGTGGGACGAAGCTGTCACTGATGGATGATAGGAGGTCCCAGAGTTTCCAGAGTTAACCACACAGTTTTTCCTAAAGGATTCTGTGGAATGAGAAGGTGCTAGCAGTGCGGAACTGTTTTTACGCTTCTTTCCTGAGCCGCTGCTGCTACTGACGCTGCCGGTGCTGTTACAGGTGCCACTGCCAGCAGAAGATTCCTTAGGTTTAAAAGATTTGCTGGATTTCATTTTCTGAGGTTTGCTGGGCATAGGTGAAGGTACAGAGGAAAGCACTGTAGGTGTTGAAGGGGATGAAGACACTTGTCTTGATTGCATACTGCAGACAGGATCCACTGCACCCAAAGTAGCAGGATTGGCATTTAGTGTCGTTCCATGTGATGGTACTGATTTATTATTCAGAGACACGCAGGAAGGAGATACCAACGCTGGCGATGACATAACTGTGGTGGGTAAGAGGAAACCTGCTGCACTGACACCGTACTGCGAAGCAGGCATCGAGTTTGTCCGATGAGGTGCACGAACTGATGCTGTGTTACTGGATGCTGGAGGAATTTTCCTACAGGTGAACAGAAAAACAAGTGAAAACCTACGGAGCTACTGTTCTTTGGAATAATATTAAGTCTAACAATGCTACATTAAAGTGTATCTTGAGGCTGATTAATGCCACTAACATTGTATTAAACTGATAGTTAATTGTTGCAAAAATACGTAAAGCAGATTATCAACTATAGATCCAATTAATCTGAACACAAGGTTACTGTTCTTTAACCAGAACTACAGGTTTCACATATTTCCACAAATACCAAGAAGAATAAGAAGTCTTTCACTTCTACTCACTTCCACATCTGTGAATTAATATGCTTCTCCAACATGAAGTCAAGTGCACATCGAATATGGTTCCACCGCTTGTCAAACACGTAATAACCTCTTCCAATCTGCTGACTACCAAATGTGCAAAACTGGAAAGAACAGATTTTTGTTGGTGTTTTCTACTTTCAGTAACAACTCACTGAATAACAGTTTATTTACAAATAAATCCTGCTAAATGAGCATGTTTTTAGATGTTTAAGTAAAAGATTAAAAAATATGTTACAATTTTTATTTCTATGGTGTAACACCATTTTTATTATGATCATTTTCTTCCCCTCTGATACTCCCATAATTATGACCAAAAGCAGTGGTCAAAATTAAATCCCTCTGATTGAACAGGGAAGGATATTAGTTTGTGTTTATATAAATATATATACACATGTAAGATCTACTTCAGAGTCTGTATTTTTCTGCAAAGGAGATAATTTTTTATACAGGCAAGGCAACAAAGCTTGTGCTTTTAGACTAAGCTTTTGTCAAGACTTGATTATTAAACTAACACATCACTGCTACCTGTACTTTGACGAATGGCACCTGAAGTAAAAAATGTGTGCATGAATGGGGTGGGGGATGCGGGGTGGGGGGAGCAAGTCCAGTAACAAAATCTCACCCAAAGGGCACCGTTTACATGTTTTTATTCCAAACCCGCAGCCCTTTAAAGCAGTTACCAATTTGATCCTCAGCGTTTTGTGTTCCTATTTCTTTTGGACTCTGAGGAAGTGATCTGCAAGCATAGTTCTTTAGCACATTTATTTTACAAGTACAGCTAAACCTTCACTGCCTACTGTGCAACAAAATGATTTTCTTAAAATCAAGGGAAAACCCCCAAGCATATCCAATACAAAACAACTCCTAAACCCCCCTCAAGTAATTTGTTTGCAAGTTCAGAGCCAGTGAGAGACCAAGGTTAAGTTTTACTGGGAACGTACAGCAGCTGGTTGAGGATGATGACCTGAAAAATGACAATCCAGTTTTTCAACAGGCTCTTCTTTTTCATCACATTCGCCCTCATCACTGGATAACCGAGATGCTGGCTCAGCTGCAGGCAAGGGAGGGTGCGGGGACTCGTGGACAGAAGGAGACTCACTAGGGGCATTTCCACTGTGCTGGGCTGGACAGCCTGGAAGCCTAGGCAAGGCAAGCAGGAAAGGTGTTACTGAACTAAATCTAGTTAAAAATTCCAAGCTTAAACACTTACTACTACCAACAGAAGGAAATCTACATTAACAGATCTCCGGTATTTTCCAGAGTCTCATAATACATCCACTGGGAGGAAGGACAGGAGGTCTGGTACCCCTGGAAAAGCAGCATTGCCCAACCACTGCTGAACTGTCAGCAGTCAGTTGACACTGCTTTTACTATTTCAAACACCAAACCCTCCTTGCTAGGAGTTACAGCTCAGCATGTAATTGCTAATTGTACGGTCACCAGGCCTAGAGCAAGAATTCCGCCCTGTCCAACAGATCTGTATCGCTCTTTCAAAGTCCACCTGATGAAGCTATCAGGATTAATTTCATACCATGGGATCTGCAGGTTTTTCTTACCTTGGAAGACTGGGGGGGTGAGGTTTGGGTTTGTTAGGTAATAAAGGCTTTGATTCTGTAAGAGTAACTCCATGAGAATTTTGGTGCAGCTCCTGGGAAGTTTTAGTAGGTGAGGGATGTGGTTCCCTGAGAGGGGGCATCTGCTGATGATGATCCGAATGTCGAAGAAGTTCCTTTTCCCTGGTTTTGCTTTTGTGCTCAGCTAATAACACATCAAATCGTTTTCTTCGACCCTGTACAGCCCTCCGCTGGGTTAAGGAATGTGTCTGCAAAACCATGAATAAATCATTAATCCCAGGCTATTAGATTTGTGGAAATCAGACACTCAAAGCATGTGTCTAGAGCTCTGAAACACAAAATTGTCACATTCACGGTTCAGCAAATAAATGGAAGAATCATAGAAACCAAACTAAGATTGCTGCGTGGACGATGATATCCCTGTCTGATAAAAGTAGAAGGTTTCTTTCAAATTTCTTTCTAAAGAAGAAGCTGCCAGAGTTCTTCTAAGGTTAAGACTAGAACCAAAAATATTTTTCACACTGGTATTTTAATTGCCAACTACTGCACAAACAAACATACTGAGTATGTACTTTCACTTACAAAAATATTTAACACGATATTTAAATCTAATGAAAGACAGGAAAAATATTTGTAAAAATACTCTGCTTCCTTCTGTATAATAATATACTCCTTAAAAACTAATGCTATCAAATAGATATGAAGGAATGCAAAACAACAGAGCAGAATGCAGAGTGAGACAGAATTCAAAGTCCTCTGAGTATCCTGAATGCTACATGTTTATATGGCACGAATTCTAGGTAAAGTGAAAGAGATGGAAGTTATTTTTGTGAATTCTTAATTCACATACAATACCTTTTTTCATATGGTATAAAAGTTTTCCTTGGGTCAATTTTCGTAGATAAAAATTACCATTATGTAATTCAAACACAAACAGCTATTCCAACAGGAATAATGTTAATAGGTATAATGTAAGGAATTGCTGAGAAGCATTTTTACTTCATTTCTACTTTACATTTTTGATTTGCCTAGATCTCTTGTAAAATCTTGAAGCTTTTCCTTCCTTTAGTAGCAAAACAATTGCCTCCCCCTGCAATTCCAAAAGGGCAATGTGTTCAAGTTCAGCTCCTCTGGGACATCAGGACTAGCTTCATTTACCTTTGTTCTGTAGGTAGTTTATTTACCAGATGATTCCCCTACTGACAGTTCAGCTGCTTTGAACAGTAGCTGATACTACACAGTTGTAGGGATCTGGATTTTTGGTTCCCTGGGACTGATACCTCTCCGCATCTGACTCCCCAAGATTTTTGAGCCAGAGGACACATTTCATCTGACCAAAAAGATTTTATGGGTTGCTTAATTTAGAGTTCCTAACTCTAAAACTCATTTCTGGGTTGGCTGTAGCGGTACATGAGGCAGCATGAGCATTTACACAAATACCTCCTAAGTATCTGCTGCAGACTTTGCTGGGGGGAAAGGAGTTTATCTAAATCCTGCATAAACAAATACTTTCAATGTTCATGAGGAATTTTAAAATTCATCATTTATGACCCAAAAGATATCCCCGAAAAGATCATGCTGACCCCCTACTACCTACACGCAAAGGAACATAATCTGCCCCATGTCAATATCCATGTTTAAAAGGTTTATACAAAAATACAAACCTCTGAGTTACTTTAAAAAATAAGTGTTTGAATAAAGCATTAACTGAACTTCAAAACCAATTCCTTCTCAGTTTTGGGCAACATATTTTGAGAGGTGCCATTTAAAGTGGTAATTACTGACAGCAGAAATCTGGAGTTTTCCATTTTCTGTCATATTCCTCAGGAAATTGAATTAAACTTTACATAATTTTCTTCTGATTGAGATATCCTACCTTGCATGTCAAAGACCTAGTACAAGGTTTCCTGGTTTCCACATCTATGACACCACAGTATATATCAGGATCAAATTCTCTCTCTGTCAAAGGTACACAGTATTGAAAAGTTATCAAAAGACATTGTGAAATACTAACATCTATTTTCATTATAAAAATTAACCAGACTGGAATCTGTTTTCAAATGTACCAATAAAACTGCACAATAAAATTGCACACAATATTGTCTACATTCTCAGCAAGCTTATGGTGTGCTGAGATACAGATCTCAAGTCTACAAACAGAACAGAGACATTCACAGCTATAAGGGACCCTGAAGGAGTAGATCCTACATTTTAGTATTAGAGTACACCACCAATATGAAGTGTGACAAATGATGGTTTTTTGGGTGTTGAGAACTCTTCTACCATTCCACTAACGCTCAAAGTTACTGCGCTTAGAAAGTGTAAAGGTCGGACAGGGTTTCCATTTTTTAAGGTGCTAGTCATTCCATTTGCTATGTACATTTTGGACCTTCCATATAGAAAGAAGGAAAGGAAAATACTTAAAGATAGTAATTCAATGTAATTTTATAACTGTAAGAACTGACAGGCCTTAGAGGTCTGTATGGTTTCTGAAAGCAATATCCACATTTCAAGTTGTTTGTGTTCTTTAAGAGTATGTCCAATTATAGATTTAAATTCTAACATATAAACCATATATAATTACAAGTTAATGTTATAAAAGTGTTTAATTTACTTCTGAAGCTTATTTCTATATATTCTGTGTATGTGTTTCTATAGATACACTACTAAGAGAAATACAGGAAATAATAATTGAAAAAAATTACCTGACAATCTTTTATGTAAAAATTTCCTATTATTTGTATTTTCTTCAGGTTTCTTTTCCAAAAACGGAGGCACAGAGAGAAGACCTTTACCATTCAGTATCTGTCCAGGGGAAGGCAAGGGTGGCTTTGGTATTGAGGGACAATTAAGGCCAGTCTTTATTGAGGAACTCACAGTAGTAGAACAAGTTGGACCAACAGCAGCTTTCAGTTGGGCACCATCTATCTTTGGATGAATCTTTTCCACTTTGACAGATGGAGTCATACTATTATTTATGGAAAAAAGGGGGAAGAAATTGAAAATTACAGTCATAAATTATAAATGTACTTAATATGTTATTACTCAACACTACTCCAATCTATTCACAATGCAAATGGAGGCCTTCCTCCTTTATTCACAGATTTTTTGTTCTTATCTTTGTTTTCACTTTTTTTACCATGTCCGTAATCTCTTCTGACCTCTTTTCCTCATTTTCTTGTAAGTATTTCAGTGAGTCAGAGAATTCAGAAACAGTTGCTTGGATTCACAAATAAACCTATTACCAAAGCAACTGGAATGAGCCAGCTGTGTCCAGTGAGAAATGCCCTGTTCTGTGACAGTAAATTATATTATCAGTTGTGTAATCTCATGTGTGCAGGTCAAAACTCACCTGAATCAGAGCTAGAGCCCCCTTATGATCAAAGTGTGCACAACAGATTGAAGAATTAAGGGCCTCTAATAAAATGGCTTGTATTTATAGTGATTTAAGATGCAGTTTTGCAAGAATTCTTGTTCAACATAGTCATGTTATATCATGACATATATATCATAATGTATATAACATGATCATGTTATAATCTTAGACTAGGCTGCTGGAAAAGATCTGGAGAAGTTTAAAGTGATTTCATACAAACTCCTCTGAAACACAAAGGAAATTCTACTGATACAGCAGTGTCTATGCAAGCAATAACATTTAGTTCTTTGTCAAAAGGCATACTCACATTTTATCATGGGGAACTTTGCTATGCTGTACCGAATGCATTAACCTGTTGTTTCCGCTCATCTGCAGCTTGTCTTTGGGCGATTTCAACACCTTGGAATTTGATGATGATGCACTAGTACCTCCACTGGATGAACGATTGCTCCCACTTCCACAGCTACCTTTGTTTTTTGAAGGGAAGGATGAAATGAGGGAAAATACTGAAGAGGAGGGAGGAGTCAAAGGTGGCTTGCTGGAGGAGCTGTGTCTTCTTTCTGAAAAGGAGGAAGAAAAAGGGATTTTAAGCTCCCACACAGAAACAATTCTCAAATATTTCATGTTGTCATTTACTCCATTAACATTTTTCCTTTATTAGCTTGGGAGGTCCCCTGCCACACACAAAGCATAGAGAATTCAAGCCTCACTGCAATCCAGGAGGTTCCACTCAATGCTGGTCCCCAGCCGGTTATGGGAGTCTCTTTTAACTTTGGGAGCTACATGCCTCAGCCACTAAAGCCTGGCTTTTAATAATGCTCCCCACTTTCCATCTTAAAGAACAAGAAAGTGAGAATGAAACCTAGACCTCAGACACACAAAGCAGAGAGACAGACCCCTATCCTCCAGCCAAACAAGCTTAAACGTACTTCCTCAAAGGATAACAATTTGTCTCCTAACGGTCAATATTATACTCTAGCCAATGTTTTAACTTTGACTTCACAACAACCTTTTGGTATGGTCTACTAGACCTTCAGTGTGAGAACACCCCTGAGAACAATACCTGAAGTACTGACTACAGTGGATTTTGGGGTGTTGTGGTGGTTGCTTTTTGTTTGCTTTGTTTTCCTCTTATAATTCCACAGGATTTCTATTTCTTCTAAAAAAAAAATAAATCTGAACATCTGAATCGAGAGTGGTCAGGTTTGTGTTGGCAAATAAATTATTTAATGTTAGGACATTAATATATTGCTAGCATCAATTCAGTTAAAATATTAACGTAATTACAATGAATTAAATCAAATCTATAAAGTATATAATTACTTGATGCATTTAATGTTATTAATTACTGTATTTGTTATTACTGTAATTATATAAAAATGTAGCTCTATAGAACAATGAATTCCCAGTCACAGCTCCAGGGAGCCCCCAGCTCTGCCTACACATGGACATGTTAAATGACCTTTTGCTCAACAGATACTTGGGCACCTGTGCTTCCTCGATGATCTCTGTAATCAACACCTGCTTAAGAGATATCTCGTAATCAAGTATATGCAAACCACAGATCTAAGTGAGACTCAAGAATTAGCTGGTCCATCAGGGGAGTGGAAATGCACCTTTCACCTCAACAGCAATAATACCTCTTCCTCAGCCAAGTGATGTTAAAGGTGCCCAAATCCACCACTCATCAATCCCAGGATCAGCTTACAGATTTTGACTTTAATTTCAGCAAACTATGAAAGAAGCAGGCTACTCATGAAGTTGCAACTACTTCAAGAGTGAAAGTAAAGTTCAGTGCAACCTGTATGGAAAGCTGTAACACTCTTGAAAACATAAATTAATACATCCATCTTCTGCTTATATGACCTATTTTCATGTTATGAGCAAGCTGGTCTATAGTGGAAGGTGTCAGGGTTTGGAACTAGATGACATTTAAAGTCCCTTCCAACACAAACCATTCTATAATTTTATCTTCCCTGCTATCCTCAATACAGCAAACACTCAGATGATGACCCACAAGGACTCCATTTATAGCTGGAAGCCACCAAACAAGTCAGCACCAACCCTGCACCAGTGTCATGAGGCACATCACCTGCAAGCAAGACTAATGAGGTGCAACAGCAAGAACCAGGGGGAAAAAAGTCAAACCACTCCAGCAGTGCAAGAGGAAGACATAGGAATCTTAACATCTATCAACCTTCTTGCAGAGGTGGGGAAGTAATGTTTTAAATATGTTCATTAGTTATGGGAGCGGAAGGAAGCATAAGAGCTCTGACTGGAGTAGGAAACTGCAGTCAAGAAGCAACTCAGAGACTGAACCATATGATGTGTTTCTCTGTTTAACTGCACAATGGGTGCACCCTAACAAACTTTCTGCAAGAGAGTCATCAGTTCTTAATTAGTGTTAACCAAAAAGCTCTGAGAGGTCATGTGAAATGACTGACAGAAATAAAATCACTGCATTTATGCATCACCCATGTCAAGAAACAACTACTTTAAAATGATAGTGTTCAGAAATAGTTATCTGTGATACTCAAAAGTTATCTACTTAGGTTTCTAGAACCACATGCCATTAAAGGGTTTGTAAGTGAAGTATGTTAGCACACTGACGTTCTAGTAAATGGCTGTGCTTTTAATATGAGGTACTGCTTATTGCCAAATGTCTTTTTATAGTAGTGGCAAGAATCCCTGAGCAGCTTTGATAAGTTACTATTTGAGGGCCATTAGTTCAAGCAATGTTACACCCTGTGAGATTATTCTGTGAGATAATGAGAGGAATTGCTCAATTCTCTTCCACCTTCGGTATATTTAGAAAATTCAAAGCCCAAGTTCTTACCACAGTTACAAATAATCTCAATCCAGTGGATGACTAATGCAATCATTGGGAGGTAAATGTGGCTTTTTTTAAGGAAGAGAGGGTGTTACTTCCTTGACAGATGAGAAGGGACTAGAGTAAGACTGGTATTTCCTTGCATCCCATCATGAGCAATAAACTAGACAAAATATTCATCTCAGCTATTAATCCAAGCGATATGAACACTTCTTTCTGGCAGCTTCAACTGCTACTGTTCTGGTACTGAACTGAGATGTTACTGACTACTGTTTGCATGAACATTTCATAGCACTAGTCTCAAACAAGTGAGTTAATACCAAAATAAAGTGTTTTAAACTGCTGCTAACGAAAAAAAACCAAACCAAACAAAACAGAGAGAATTTCTATTCTACAGCCAGATACACAATTTGGAACACACACAATTTCTGAAAGAGATGTTCTAAGTCTGTGAAACCTTCAATCACTCCTTCTGCACATAACCATGACCTGTGTAGTTTATCAACAAAAGGAAAAGACTTTTCAGCTCATTTGTCATAACCTGCCTGGACGTGTTTCAAGTTGACTTACGTACAGGTGGAGCTGCTACTGGGATTTGTTTTGGTCTTTTTATAAACTTCATGTTCTCAAGTGAAATCTGCTCAAGGTCTCTTTTGTACAGCATCTGAAGACTACTGGTGCCTCGCCTTATTGCAGAAAGCTAATAGTTTTGAAACCAGATGTGTTAGCATGGCAATCTTGATCTGATGAATATATTTATTGACAGACATAGTCTTTTAATGAAAAAATTACTACACAAACTGTCACTGAATAACAAAGACCACCATGCTTATTATGCTAAGCATATTATAATGATAAATTCTACTAATCATCTGCCAATCTAATACAGTTCCCATTTCCCATTAACTCTGAGTCAGCCTGAAAACATTAAAAGATATAATTATCTTCAGGTGTTCAGTTTTCATATTTTACAAGTTAACACTCATGTCCTTTAATAATATTTCTTGAGAGAAAAACAACTTTTTGAAGTCATGATTGCTTCTGCAACACATCAAAGTGATATTTAAAATACTGCACCTATGGAACACGGTTCTAAACTCTAAAATTTCAGGCAGGATTTTGTCATTGGTTTTGGTGTTTTGTTTCTTTAAATATCAGAAAGATCTAAGTTTTGGCTATGGAAAAAGAACTGGGAAACCTTTGTTTATCCCATAGCCCTGGGTAGAACCTGACTTAAAATGAAAGCTGCATTCAATGCTAAACCTTACCAGACAAATTTCTCCCCTTAAGTATCTTTGCATTTATGTCACATCTTTGTGATCCTAAGTAGAAGGCCTGTATGGAAAGTTAGAAAGCTATGAGGAGAGATGGCATCACAGCAAAGGTTGCCTCTGCTTGGTGACCAGGATATGTGTCATCTACCAATTTTGACAAATACAGCAAAGAGGTTTTGTGCTATTAGACAAGAATTAAATACGCATACTGCCAAAGAACACAAAGCTTCCTGATAAAATGGATATTGATAATGCAAATCTCAAGAGCTTTTAAAAAATACAAAGTTAAACAGCTTCACTTGGCCCTTAGTCTGGCTGCCAGTTTTCTTGGGTTTAAAATCTTATTTTCCATTGTGTATTTGCTACTAAACTTACACCAATTTCTGACAAAATGCTAAAAAGTAACCTGGAAGGTGAACAAAAACAAGGGGAAAGAAAAACAGGAACACTTCTTACCATGTTTGGCTACTACTACTTGTTTTTCCATCAATGAATAAACACTTGGACTTACCGTGATTAATAACTTCATTTATTTTATTAAAATGAAAAGATATGCTTTTATAGGGAAAAATATTCTGTTTTTCATAAAATGCTACTTTCTTTGCTGTATGCTTAACAACAACATCAAAAAAAGAGTAATAATACTCTAAACAGTCCTCCCAAGTCTACACTTAGTTCCCAAAATGTAGGAAGTGTTTTGTGTTGTTCATTCTGTCTGGGCATCAATTAATAGCTTTAGGCAGCAAATACAAGATGTACAGATCAAATTTCATAAACCCTTGGGGTTTTTATACTCACTTCTTACGTAAGTACTGGGCAAAAAGTCAAACTGACCTGTGTCAGTGCGCGCAAAGCCGTTGTTACAACTGAAGCACACCCGAACACATGGGTTTAGTTCAGTGAAATATGGAGCAACTTCAGTTAGCAGTCAGAAAAATGGCTTGAACATAGGTTTAGCCTGAGTGTGTAATTCAAGAGTATAGAATTAGATGTGTATACTGAAACAAAGCATAATGATAATTTTATGTTGAAGAAACTATTCTTTCATACCTCTGTCTCACCTAAGCATGATAAAAGTGCAATTGAAAGCAAACTGATTTTTCTCCATCTCCTGCTGCTTGACTTGTCATTTGAGAAATTTAGTGCAGCCACATTAAGACAAACATCTTTCACCTGAGGATATCATCTGTTTTCTGTCAATATGACTATTATATTCCTAGAGTAATTGTGGAGAGCAAATTAACTTGATCTAATTTCTCCAGAAAGATCAGATCCGTGGCCTGACAGGAGAGCAGGGACACTGCTGTTGGAGGGGCATTTCACCAGAGCACCAGACCTTACTCAGCAAGCAACTAAAATCCTTTTTGTGGCTCTAACTCAAATGATCATGTTGGGCTCTGACCCACCATGACACAGGAATAAGAAAAACATTAGATCCATGAGGATTTCACAGGGG